TGCAGACAGGGGATTGGTTCCAGTAATTGCCCCCTCACCAAGCTGATCACCATCCCTGCGCACATCCAATTCACCCATCTGCATGGGACCCCCCTGCTGGACTGGGCCCCGTACAGGAGGACTGGTCCATGGCCATGTCTAAGGGTGATCGTTTTTATTTTGTAATAAAGAAAAAAAGTTTAAAAACTAAAAGCATAAGTCCAGAAGATGATCCAGCAAGCCAGAAATACCAGAGGATGTCCCCTAGCCATAAAGATGGGATCTCAAACCCAGCTAACAGTTATATCATTTATCTATGGTTAATATTTTACTATTATTCACGTAAATTGAGTTAAGCAATAGTTGTGCAAGAAGTGGAATTACAATACTACAGCACCACCTGTTGCTGTTATCTGTACATTGTAACTGTTTCATGTTACATTCTACTGTACGTACATCATGTTATAATATAGACCAAGGTGTCCAACCTGCAGCTCAAGACGGCTGTCAATGCGGCCCAACACAAAATGGTAAACTTACTTAAAAATGTTGATTTTTTTTTGTAAAAATGCTTTTACACTTAGCACACACATGCAGACGAAGAAATTTTGACAATGTCTTTTTACTGGACTTTTTTTTATCTTCCCCAAAGAAAAATACCTTACTCTTCACAATCACACCTTTTCCATGTCATCAGTTTTCAGCAGCATCTATATTTGAGAGCAACTATTTTCAAGGATAAAACATAAAGGGCAAAATTAGAACCTAAATATCTGATGAACACATTGAGAATTCACTTCTACATCCATCAAACCAGATACTGATGAGTTAGTTTATCAAAAACAGCATCAAATATCACGCTAATTTTAATGTTGCCCTTTAATGAAAAATATTACAAAAAAGTTTTATTTACTCAGATAGGTTCATTATCTATATCAGTGTTCGTTAACCACTTGCCCTCCAGAGGATTTACCCCTTCCTGACCAGGCCATTTTTTGCTATATAGTGCTGCGTTACTTTAACTGACAATTGCGCGGTCATGCAATGCTGAACCCAAATGAAATTTATGTTCTTTTTTTCCCTAGAAATGGAGCTTTTTTTTGGTGGTATTTGATCACCTGTGCATTTTTTTTTTTTTTGCACTATAAACAAAAAAAGATCGACAATTTTGAAAAAAAAAACTATATTTTTTACTTTTTTCTATAAACCAATATGAGTAAAAAAATTTATTTCATCATAACTAGGCCACAATTTATTCTGCTACATGTCTTTGCTTAAAAAAACACCAATACATGTAAATTAATTGGTTTACATGAAAGTTCCTACCACTCCATCCCCCACAGCTATCTCCTCCTGTACCACTATCCCCTCCCTCCTAGATTGTAAGCTCGAAAGAACAGAGCCCTTGATCCCCTCATGTATCACATTGTATTGTTACTGTACTGTCGCATGTTCTGTCCCCCTTTCATAATGTACAGCGCTGAGTGAATTGTTGGCGCTTTATAAATACTGAATAATAATAATAAAGTTATAGTGTCTACAAATGGCGGTATATATAGTGGAATTTAAAAAAAAAAAATTTTTATACTAGTAATGGTGGCAATCAGTTACTTATTGCGGGACTGCAGTGGGCATTCTGACACTGGGGGGAGCTGAATAACTACCACTGACATCCCAATGACACTCATACAGTGATCAGTGCTAATAAAAAGCACTGACACTGTACTAATGACCACTGGGCATTAAGGGGTAACATCTGGGGCGATCAAAGGGTTAACTGTGTGCTGTTTTACTATGTGTGCTGTGTGTGTTTTACTAGGGAAACATACTGCTGTGTATTTCTCTGCTGTGCAGGGGAGAGAGGATAAGAGCTGCTGCAGATGTGCATAGGGCTCGGGTAAGTATTTGGGGGGCTTAGAGGTGTGCTAATATTAAAAGGATTTTTACCTTAATGCAGAGAATGCATTAGGGGAAAAAACGTTTACGTTTACAACCACTTTAAAGTGGATGTAAACCTCTGACAAGAAATATGAACAAAGCATATCCCTCTACAACGTGTCACCAAGTGTAATTTCCTATTCCCTGCCTTTTTCCTCTGCTATCTGTATGAGTCACTTCTGAAAAGCTTTCCTGACACCCAGAGGTAAAAAGGTGACAGGGGAGGGACCTCCAGCCCACAGCCTGTGATTGACAGCCTCAGCTCTGTTCTTGTGTGCTTTGTGAAGGGGGGGTGGTGTCCCTTCCCTTCCATCAGTTGTGAGAGCTTCCCCCCATTGAGCTTTGCAGGGCATAACTTCAGCTCCCCACCTCCTGTTTTCTAAAAGCTCAGACAAGCTGTATAAATTTTGCACTTTGAACATCTGTAGAGGATAGAGGGATGCAGATAAACAGGTACAACGTATGTAGGGGGGTTTATATATCTCTGTGTATCACCAGAGGCCAGTCACTTCACTGAGTATATATAAGAGTTTACAACTACTTTAAAGCAGAACTTCATGCTCTTGATCAATATTAACTATTTTAATCCTTATACTGCTAGCATTAGTAAACAGATAGGAAAGTATATCATATTTACCTGTTTTAAAAACTTTTATTTTTACATTTCTTTAGTTATGTCTTAGTTTCCAGGCCTAGGAAACGATGTCATACATCCCAGGAGTCTTCAGGAGCGGAGGAGGGGTTTTCCCAGTTAAGCAAACCCTCTTGCTTGCATGCCTGAGCTAAGGGCAGATGGATTACAGGAAGTAAATGCTAAAGGAATCATCTGCCCTTACTCAAGATGGTCGTATCCAGAAATGATAGGGGTTTTATTTTATAAGTGATTTCTCAGCAAAATAAAGCATGCAGACATGGATGGATGGGGGAAGTTTTCTTTGAATATCAAAATTTAATTAAATAGCATTTTTCAATATGTGGTGCTCAGATGTAGTGTAATTCTCCTTTTACTTCCAGGTTCCAACTGACGAAATCCTAAAACAGGGAACCCAGGTTCATCTAACCTGATTTTAAATACTGATTATATTATTGCAGGGAACAGAAGGGTAATACTTCTCTCGATTTCCCTGTGTCATTTACAAATGTGTCAGTGACAGAATTCTCTTTATTGCTGAGTCAGTGATTGAAGAGCAAAATTAAAAGAATCTGTGTTCCCTTCTATATTCCCTTTCTCCCCACTGGTGAGATCCACAAGGGAATGTCCCTGGAACATGAAGCCACTGCCAAAATTAACAAATTAATAAAAATAGACAAATTTGGTAGAGTAAAGTCAATCCATCCCAGCAGGGTACAACAATCAGTAACAATATACTATAAATCAACATGGAACTCTTTTTGCACTAAAATGTATAATCTCCAAATCTGCCCTATGGACAATATTCTCAGTAAGCCCATCAGAAATCATGTCTTTGGACCCTGTTTTGATGTTGTTTTGTTGGTGATGCTGATTCTCCAGTAGTTCATCTCAACTTTTCTGCTGGTATAATATGTATGGCACCAATTTTTTTTTTTACATGCCCGTACTTCTTTTTTCTCTTGCACGATATTGTGCCATACTTTTTATTAAGTTCCTGTAGAGGCTGAGATTTTAAAGGCGAAAGGTGGGTGGAATGAGGCCTACATAATGGTTGCCTTGAAACCACACCCAATGTGGGTACAAGAGAGTAAATGGAATTGGTGCTTGGAGGGAACCACAAGTACGGAGATCCTAATATGAGTAAATACAGCAAATAAAATCACAAGCAGTACAGATGAAAGGTGACATGTTAGGCATAAAGTCCAAAAATCCAAATGTCCTAGAAAGGGTATGACAGGCGAAGGCAACTCCCCATAGAGCGAAGCAGTACTTTGCAGGAGATAAAAAACGAACAGAAGAGGACGCCAATCTGAGTGTAGAGGGTTAAAAGGAGTAAAAAATACTCACAAATGTAAGGAGTTAAAAGGCATGGTTAAAAGTCATCCTCTGGTAAGCCGTTTGTCAGCCAGCGATGTGGTTGTGGATCCTGGTCAATCAGGATGAACGGGGATGGAGACCTTGCTTCTTCTTCTTCAGCGCTTGCTTCTTCTTCAGACCTGCTGGTCTGAAGAAGAAGCAAGCACTTCGAAATGTGTCACCTGACTTCTCCTTGCTTTGCCATCGGTCACCCCTGCCGGGTCTGGGATTTCCTTGCTGTCCGCGCTGGTAAACGGCGCCATTTTCAAATCTCCTGCAAAGCTGACAGCTGACGGCTCCATCCCCGGTCATCCTGATTGACCCTGACCCTAAACCACATTGCTAGCTGACAAACGGATTACCAGAGGATGACTTTTACCTCCTTGCGTTTGTGAGTAGTTTCTACTCCTTTTGATACCATTAAAGTGTTAACCCTCTGCACTCAGATTGGCGCCCCCTTCTGTTCGATGGAAAACACACACCCAGCTACAGAGAGTCTAAGAACCATTACAGAATTCTTTTCACATAATCATGTTAAACATTCAAAGTGCAGGAGGAAAAAGTATGTTGAACCTTTGGAGCCTGAATTCATAGAATATTTTTACATATTTTCAGTAAATGATGAAAACTGTTAAATGTTTATCATTAGCATATAATACAACATGGCTGTATTCCAAGAAAGACTTTCAATAATCTATATTTAGTACAATTAAGAGTCACTGTAAATAAAATGTTTTAGTTAAGTAGTACCTATCCCTGAAGGAGTTGCTGATGTTTTAATTCCACCAGTTTTGGCTCAGGTGTTAGTGATCCACACATCGAGGCTGATGGAACCCAAGTTCTACGTTGGAGCGCTCTAAACAGCATTTTTTAATCCCAGTGAGAAAAGGGAAGCACAGTACAAATCCCTGGGGTCCCAGAACTGAGTAGTGCTGTCCCTCTTAGCAGGAATGTGACAAAGATGGTGGTCAAAGGCCTTGTACCACCTTTATCTGAGGTGCCCAGAATGAAAAACTAGTTGTTACTATAATGCACAAAATTGAAATATAAGTTTCGAGTGGAAATGTTGCTTTAAACTTTTCATTTCTGCCATATTCCTTAGGATAGCAAATATCACTACAGTAACTCTTGGCGCTCACTCAATGAAAGAAAATGAATCTGAGAAGCAGAAGATGAAAGTTATCAGACTCTTTGCATACAAGACGTATAACTCCACAACAAAACAAAATGATATTCAACTTTTGCAGGTAGGAATTGCATGTGCACTTTATGTAAATTGTTAGCTTGTACGACTACAGAAGCTCATAAAATATGGTGTCTTTCAATAGTAGCCTAAGGCTAAAAGAAGAATGGTGTCTCCCTATAATACAGCCTCCGTTTACAGGCAGAGATATAATCTGATATTGATTAATTAGCAGGGGTGCTTGAAAACACCTTGAATTTGTTTGATGCTGTATTTACACTGATCAAGTGAACATTAGGGTTAGCACACACAGGTGTTTTTTTTTTCCATAATATGTTTTTACTAAAAAGTTATCAAATCATACATAACAAATTTGAGTAGCCATAGATTTGAGGTATGGACAAAGATCAGCAGCACACAGGTTTTTAAGTATACATTTCTCCATTTGCTTTTATTCAAAGTTCTAAAACTACAATCCACATTTATCAAAGATGTTTGACAAACTGATGGTTGATGCAAACCATAAAGACCCTTAAAAAGGAGTGATCTATGAAAGCTGTGCCAGCAAAAGGAGGCAAAGGCAAAGGATTGGTCACCAGTCTGTTGTCCCTTTTACCATGCCTTGTTCTGCACTGCATCTCAGTTTGGAGATTGTCTTTGTAGAGGCAGCAATGTACTTCTTCACGTAAGAGCCTCCAGCAAGAAGAACAGTAAACAGCACAGCAGGTACGGCAACAAATCTCCTTAAAGCGGAGTTCCACCCAAAATTGGTCCCCCCACTCCCCATTACGGATTGGCACCTTTGGGGAGTGGGGGGGGATGGGTACCCGAAACAGACAGGTACCCTCTCCCACTTCTGCTGCGATCGCCTAGGCAATCGGAAGTGGAAGTTGTCCTTCTACCCTCCCTCCCTGTAGTCTTTTGGGACACGTGACAGGTCCCAGAAGACGATGGGGCCATTCAGGAAGCGCAGCACTACTCGCGCATGCACAGTGAGCACCCGGCTGTGAAGCCGCAAGCTGTCACAGCTGGGTGCCCACACTGAAGATGCCGGCGCCTGGAATACAGGACGGCCAGTGAAACGGGCTGCGGCGGGGGCAACGCGGGATCGTGGGACAGGTGGGTGGCTGTTTTTTTAAAAGTCAGCAACTACAGTTTTTGTAGGTACTGACTTTTATTTTTTTACAGAGTGAGTGGAACTCACTCGCTTTAAGCAGTCAGAGGCAGCAGTGCCATAGATATCACACTGAAGATATATAGTACATGTATGAGTCTCTAGGTACAGGAGTGCCTAAGCACACTCACATATCAGGAAGAGCACAGCTAATTTTTTTTCAGGAGAAATCCCAGTCAAGAGGTAATTTTTTCAGGTGCTGATAAGGCATAATTAAACATTTCTAAATTTTTTTCATAACATAGCTTATCTTTATTTTTTTTTAGTTCCAGTCCACTTTTTTGGGCTATCAACCACAGTGGCATGCATTAATTAATTAATGGAGTGGCTTCCATCTTGCTTGAGGGAGAGGAAGATCATTTCAGGGGTGTCCTGTTCCAAACCCTTGCCAATCAACATTTTTCCCAGTGCTGTTAGGCAGCTAAAAGGCTTGTCAGCTCCCCCTTTCTTTGGGCATCAGATTTGCAGCGGTGACAAGTGTATGTAGCCAATCAGACTAGTGATCTGCATATTTTGATAGTGACAAGTGCCACACATAGGCATAAATGGAGATGTTCAAAGCAAGTTCCCTATGCTCCTCTAAAAAAGAGTGTATAGCACAGGGACTTGGTAAAACTTATCTTTGCGCCATGTTCACTGCATATAAAATCTGCAGTCGCTATTGTAACACCCTGCTGTAATACTCGTTGCAGGATGTTAAATGGACACTAGATGGCAATGTCCTGCAGCCCAGTTGCACAGACTCTGTTGAAAAGCTTTGTGGAATTCGTAGGCTGACTGCAGGACTTTGCTGCTTGACAGTGAGCTAGTGAACTACATTTCCCAGAGCAGCTGGCGTGTGGGCAGAGGCAAATAAATACAGAAGCCTGGGAACCCGGAGACAGGAAGTGAATAGGGAGAGAAGGTGTGAAGGGAAGGCTGTGCAGGACGCTGGAGGACCGGGCTAGGCCAGGTCTTTGAGAGTGGAGGAGAAAGGAGGAATTGCTGACCGCTGATGAGTCTGATGAACTGCCCTGCAAGCAGGCTGACCAGAGTGCTGTTGCCTGGAGTGATCTCTGAAGGGGGAACTGTAACGAATACAGTGCTCGACCACTACCCTTCTCACCAATTTGTGACAAAGGACCAGCCAATAGCACACCGCACTGTCACTTGTGTAACAATACCACTATCAACTGCACCATGCGCAAAGATTTTCCAGCTCGCAGGACCACAATCTATGTGTCAGCAGCCTGAGAGCATTTGTCACTGTGTTAGGTTGATTAGCATTTAACCCTTCAAACTCCAAACTGCCACCAGATAGCTTTGGGCCTATCAACCCTTCACAATGTTAGCAAGAACAAATGTGAATAATTAACGTCTGTAACACACACTATCACCACAGACAGGTATATTCAGAGGATTATTATATACAGTAGCACTCTTCAAGAGGCAGGGATTCTTTAGCCCAAAGAGCCCAAAAGAGCCCAAAGTGAGCTAGCCTCTCTGTTTTGTAGTTTTTCTTTGCTCACTGGGGAAGAAATATCTCAAGACTGGGGCTATCATTTAAATTCCAGGACATCTAGAACTGATTGAGTTTGTGCTGTGTTGTGACCCTTATTTGAAGTTATTAAGAGTGATAACTGTTATTTCATGCACATTTTTTGTTTGCTGCCTTACTGTGCCTACTTTTCACTTTAATACAACCAAAGTATCAGTTCACTCTAAACTGTGTGTGAGTCTTTTATGGTTGCAGCCAAATGGTTCTTCTGGCTAGAGGTTTAAGGTGGTGCCAGCAGGGGTTGGGCTTTCATAGCGGGACCAGGCAAGACAGGGAACCCCTGAGGGGGTAGTGCTACATTATCTATGTGTATTTTGCATGCTATGAGCAGCAATTTGGAGTATGAAAAGGACTTAGAGACAAAAGGCAACTGAGTGTATATTTTCATTCAGCAGTAAACGTCTCTAAATACATTGTATATGTGTAATAAATGTGTATTGTATAATTTATGTGCTTCCAGTTATCCAAGAAGGCAACACTTGGAGATGCTGTCAACATCATTCCGTTACCAGAGACATTTGAAGACATTCCAGAAGGTACAATATGTAGGATAGCTGGATGGGGAAGAACTGAATCAGGCAACCATTCCGACACACTAAAAGAAGCCAATATCACAATACTAGATAGAGAAAAATGCATTAAAGACTGGAGACACAAATATTTCATTACAGCAGATATGATTTGCACTAATGTGGGTTCTGACAGACAAGACACTTGCAAGGTAAGAGTAACATCCTTTTTTTGTGTCCTCTCAGAACAATTTGCCTCCAGTGCTGTTGTTTCTTTATCCACTTCTCCTTTGGAGCAATGGTTTCATTTTTTATATACATGGTAAAATGTGCATTTTTGTCGATAAAATTACTTAACCTCCCTAGCGGTATGATTATGTCCATATTTCTGTGCTCAAAGCGGTAAATGTTTTTGCATGGAAATATGTATTTTTTTTATTGTAGGCCTGTAATTTTTAGGAAGAACTCACTGAAATCTCGCCAAACAACAGTCTAGTAAACATCCCGGGTAGGATAAAACTTTGAAACACAAAATCATAAATTATAATTTAAATAATCATAAAAAAATAATAATACTATAATAATAAATTTAATTCAATAATATAATCAAACCAAAAACACTGAAATTTGAAATATAGCGCCAAGTTTGCACATCACTGAGCAAAGTCGCAAAATCATTTTTAGTGTCTGATGACGAATTTCCCCCACGAATCATTATCACTCAATTCTGCAAGTAGTTCTAATTTTTACTATCACTGTTCTCTAGCTGGTCTAAAACCACTTTTGACCTAAAGGGACGCTTTTTGGACGCCATGGATATTTCTCAGTTTCCAGGCAGAAAGAACGGTAAAAATGCAGGCAGGACAAAGCACTCGGGACAAAATGTATGTGAAATGGTTTGATACAGTAATGTTTTACTATGTGATTTTAGTGAATGTCACTTTTTGTCATTTTCAAATTTCCCGCCAGTTCCGTCCCCAGTACGTCTGGACGCTTGCAGGGGACGGAACCCAGATGACAGATGCCGGCATCCACCGGATTACATTGCCGGGGACACTGCAGGAGGGTCATCGCGGGAGCGCAGGACAAGGTAAGTGATCAAGGGATCGCGGAGCAGCGCTGCATGGTAAGCCTGAGTGTAGCTCGGGGGCTACCGCTTGTGGTACTGAAACTTTACCCCGAGCTACACTCGGGAATACCTCCAGGGAGGCTATAACTTCCAGAAAAAACATTATATATTTTTTTTAATGCAGAGGCCGTGTAGAATAAAAAAATATTAGTTTTTTATTTTGTTATGTCACACAATATTTGCACAAAAACTTTTTATCAAATCTACATTTGCAGAAAAAAGTTTACACTAAAATAAAGACAAGTGCAAACAAACTCAATTGTATCCCCACTTTTTTGTACAAAATAAAAGATGAGGTTGTGTGCAGCAAATAGATACTAAAATGTCAAGAAATAACGCAGCTGTGAAGAACAATCTGTAATCAAAAACTGCCCATGCAAAATAGCATTTTAAGAATTACATACAAAACTTAAATATATATCTATTAAAAAATTATGGGAGGACATTACCTTACAAGGCAGGACATAAAAACAGCAGTCATATACAATAAATTAAAAGAAACCGTCTGTACTAAGACATATGCTAATGATCAGTGATGTGTATCAAAGACAGTCTTAGGAGCCATGCATATTAAGATGCACATCATTGAATGGGAAACCCAGTTTGGGAAAATAGCTCACTTCATGATCATGGAGAGCATTACAATATTCCACATCATGTAAATAAATTATATAGATTAGAGACTGACAGATGGTAACTAATAGAAAGCTTAGCTGAAAACCTGTCCATATCAAGTAAATTGGCAATCAAATAGTCCTTTTTGAAAATTGCAGCATGACGAACGATCAAAAGATGGCAAATCATATGACTTCACTTCATAAGAATAGGTAGTTCCATATGGGTTGCCATTTCACATTAATAATACGTAGCCATCATAAGTGGACTTTTATAAGATATATTCAGCTGCATTGCAATAGATGTGGACAATGTTAGATCCAAAACAGTTTCTCATTCAAGGTGACCAACTCTAATCGCGGAGGTTAAACGCCATAAAGAGTAGACACATATAGCAGCAGTAGTCAACAAAGTGGACTGCATATTGTAGCAATGGACATTGCCTTCTTTTTGTCCCCAGTCAACCACTCTAGATTATTTTGTAAAGGGCCTACATGCTTGGACCTGACCTTTTTACTATTAATATATTTGAAGAAATTTGGGGGGTTTGTCCTGCTATCTTTTGCAATCTGTCCTTCATTTTCCATTTTGCAGCCTTGATTTCCTTTTCACATATTCTGTTATATTCTTTGTTATGTTTAAACGATGATAGCAATCATTCATTTTTATTTTTAATAAAAGCTCTTTTCTACAAACTCAAAAACAAAATCAACTGTTAGTGGTATTACAACAAAGTGGAAGCAATTGGGAACAACAGCAACTCAGCCACAAAGTGGTAGGCCAAGTAAAATGACAGAGTGGGGTCAGCGTATGCTGAAGCGCACAGTGCGCAGAAGTCACTAACTGACTGCAGAGTCAACAGGTAAAGACCTCCAAACTTCATGTGGCCTTCAGATTAGCACAGCAACAGTGCATAGAGAGCTTCATGGAATGGGTTTCCATAGTCGAGCAGCTGCATCCAAGCCTTACATCACCAAGTGCAATGCAAAGCATCGGATGCAGTGGTATAAAGCACAGCTGCCACTGGACTCTAGAGCAGTGGAGATGTGTTCTTTGGAGTGACAAATCACGCTTCCCTGTCTGGCAATCCGATGGATGTGTCTGAGTTTGGAGGTTGCCAGGAGAACATTACTTGCCTAACTGCATTGTGCCAAGTATAAAGTTTGGTGGAGGGGGGATTATGGTGTGGGGTTGTTTTTCAAGGGTTGCGCTGGGCCCCTTAGTTTCAGTGAACGGAACTCTCAGCATCAGCATACCAAGACATTTTGGACAATTTCATGCTCCTAACTTTGTGGGAACAGTTTGGGGATGGCCCCTTCCTGTTCCAACATGACTGCACACCAGTGCACAAAGCAAGGTCCATAAAGTCATGGGGGAGCGAGAGCTTGGGGTGGAGGAACTTGACTGACCTGCACAGAGTCCTGACCTCAACCCCATAGAACACTTTGGGATGAATTAGAGTGGAGACTGCGAGCCAGGCCTTCTCGTCTGACATCAGTGTCTGACCTCACAAGTGCGCTTCTGAAAGAATGGTCAAACATTCCCATAGACACACTCCTAAACCTTGTAGACAGCCTTCCCAGAAGAGTTGAAGCTGTTATAGCTGCAAAGGGCGGGCCAACTCAATATTGAACTCTATGGACTAAGACTGGGATTCCATTAACATTCATATGCGTGTAAAGGCAGACATCCCAATACTTTTGGCAATATAGTTTATATCAGAGCTTTACCTGCGATAACAGCCCAGAATTTGACAATCACAGCAGGGCTGCTGCACTGTATATCAACAGTGTTTTTTTTTCTCTTTAAAATGGCAAAGTCTCTTTAAGTAATAGCAGCAAATAAAGGAAATGTAAGGTGATTAATTTATAGCTCTGGTATGTCTTCCCTATTTTCACTATTTAGTGGGACATAAGAAATGTGCCTATTGGGTACCAAACAGGTGGAAGCCATGACAGAGCTCCAAACTAGAATTAAGTGGAGGCCTATGTAATAACTATATGTACACTCACTGGCAACTTTATTAGGTACACCTGTTGAATTGGGGAAGAAAGGGGCTTTAGATTACTTTGAACGTGGCATGTCTGTTGGTGCCAGACAGGCTGGTCTGAGTATTTCAGAAACTGATGATCTACTGGGATTTTCACGTACAACCATCTCTAGGGTTTACAGAGAATGGTCTGAAAATTCTGTCTTGTATCAATGGTTCAGGCTGGTGGTGGTGTAATGGTGTGGGAGATAGTTTATTGGCACTAGCAAGGTGTACCTAATAAAGTGGCAAGTGAGTGTATATTGTTTCATCTATGCAACCATGAAATACATATCAATATATGATTGCAGACAATTTACCTTTCTCACTAGATGCTAGGTAAATATCTTAGCCAGTTTCAGAAAATTGCAGTTACTATCTGAGAGGAGCACAAGACCAGTCAAAGTTAAAAAGGCCTTAAAATGTGTATGCTATCTAATGACAGCATTGCATTTGTTATGAAATATAAAGGGGAAACCCTCTGCCAGTCAATCTATCAGTATGTGTATCCACTAATCTCAAAACATTTATGCACAGCCTAAGCACTTCCTTATCTCTGCAAAGTGTGGCCATGTTGTGGAGACTGCACAGAAGGACACATTGGGGTTGATTTATTAAAACTGGAGAGTGCAAAATCTAGTAGAATCTGGTAGAAATAAGCCCCCAGGTTTTTTTGTTTTTTTTTCTGTCAAAGTTTAATTGAACAAGATGAAGTTAGAAGCTGAATGGCCACCATGCGCAGCTACACCAGATTTTGAAAATTAAGTCCATTCAGACATAACTCACTGGCCACTTTATTAGGTACACCTTGCTAGTGCCAAGAAAATATCCCCACACCATTACATCCCCACTACCAGCCTGAACCATTGATACAAGGCAGGATGGATCCATGCTTTCATGCTGTTTAAACCAAATTCTGACCCTACCATCGTACGTTAAAATCCCAGTAGATCAGGGGTTTTTGAAATACTCAGACCAGCCTGTCTGGCCCCAACAACCATGCCATGTTCAAAGTCACTTAAATTCCCTTTTTTTCCCCATTCTCATGCTCGGTTTGAACTTCAGCAAGTAGTCTTTACCACATCTCCATGCATAAATGCACTGAGTTGCTGCCATGTGATTGGCTGATTAGCAATGTGTGTTACCAAGCAATTGGTCAAGTGTATCTAACAAAGTGGCCACTGAGTGTATAAAGGCACCTTGAAGTGCCTGCTTCTAAAGTAATCGGATGACTAGAGAAATATATGGTTTGCTGTTGCTGACCTCTCTTTATAAAAACACTAGTTTCCTAAATTGTGGCTTATTAGCTTCTTAGAAATGGGGCATATTTATCAATTATGAGCACAGTAAGGTATTGCTAAACAGATGCAAGATTGACTCCAAATTATAAAACAGATTCATTATAATGCTACACCTTGATTTTTCAATTCCACACTCTCTGCTGTTATAAAGTAGCACTGTTACTAAATGAAGCCCGATGCTGTCCACTTCCTAAGGTGTTACTAAACCCACAACAGTAAAATCAGTCTGTATATGCAGTAAAGCATGCTTGT